TATATGGGTTGATAGTTTTCTGCTGTGTATTTAATTTAAACATTACATACTATGATTATAAATGTTGTTATTTATAATATCTGAGGCTTAGAAGTTAGGGTAAGGGTGTCCTCCTAAGAAATATTTGCGCACTCGTATGGGTTGATAGTTTTCTGCTATATATTTAATTTAAACATTACATGCTACAATTATAAACGTTGTTATTTATAAATATCTAAGGCCTATCAGTTACAGTAAAGGTGTATTTAATTTAAAAATTCAATAATGCATAGCTAAAATTGCACAGTTAGCTGTAGTTTAATTATCTATACTATATGTTTATGTTTCTAATTATTTGTATGAATAGAAATTAAAGTGATCGGGGTCATGATAACAGTGATCGAAATAATAGTTAAGCATAGTTAAGGCAAGGTAAAATAAATTAAATAAATAAGATTTGATCAAAAGTATGATTAAACTTCTATCATGATTGTTGAACAATATTTTTATTATATTTTTTCTTGAGCTATTATGAGTGAACATATTGAAGAGAATATTTATCCTACAACATTATTAACAATAAAAATCTATGGTGATATCTATTACAGTACTCAGACTACAGAAGGTGTTGTAAAATTCTTTGAGGATCTTGGTATTTTTTCTAAAATATGTACCTGTAAAAGATGTTAAAATTTAATGTGCAAATCCAAAGATCGTTCATGTATTGATGGACAAAAATGGGCTTATACTGCAAAAACTACCTGTAATTATGCAACAACTCTAAGATCAAATACATGGTTGGCAAGATCTAACTCCTCTCTTGATCAAATTGCCAAAATAATGTTCTGTTGGTCTCATAAATTACCACAAAAATTTGCAGTTGTTGAGACCAATGTTAGCGCACATATAATGGTTGACTGATATAATTTTTGTTGAGAGATATGTAATGTTGTATTGTTGAATCAAGCTAATATGAAAATTGGTGGTAATGAAAAAATTATTAAAATTGACAAAAGTAAATTTGGAAAATGGAAGTATAACAAAGGAAAAAGAGTTGAAGGACAGTAGGTGTTTGGTGGAATTGAAAGAAAATCAAACAAAATGTTCATGGTAACAGTTCCAAATTGTACAGAAGAAACATTACTTAAAATTTTAGACAAATATGTTAAAAAGGGAACAACAATCTATAGTGATTGTTGGTCTGCTTATAAAACAAATGAATTTGAAAGACATAGCTGGAAACATGAAAAAGTTAATCATTTATAACATTTTAAAGATCCTGAAATAGGAGTGCACATAAATACAATAGAATCAAACTGGCATTCAACAAAAGCATCTCTTCTACGATATGGTACTGTTAAAAATTTATATAATACATATTTTTCTAAATATATGTGAAGACAATGCTTTGTATAAAATGATTATAATGCATTTAATATATTTGTAAAACATATTATATTGTATGATAAAGAATTGGATCAGATCGATAGTATTCTTTAATTTTCTTAATAATTGTTTTTTTTTTAAAAAAACATATATGTAACATTAATTTATTTATTTTATTACTATTTTTTTATATTATATAATAATTAGTATAATGATTAAGATAGCATAGGCAAATTAATTAAATATATGTATTTTTTATATACGTATGCAACTTTTAATTATATTGGCACTAAGTTAGCTGCAAGGGTTTGTACTACATTCATTATAATCACATATATATTATAAACATAATTATATAAAATGTGATATAAATGGGTTCATGATTGTTCAAGTGTTCCATCAATGTATACTTTTAGAATAGTATGTTTATTGGATTTTGTGCCTTTGATAATCGCTTTCATTTGGAAGAATCGAAGAAAAAAAAAAAATCATTTAGAGTGAAATCTGTGTTTTTATTATGTTTTTTATTATATAAAAGCAGATTTCACCTTTATGTGATGATCATAGCAGATTTTCACTATTTTGCAACTCAGGTTTCATTCTGTCATAATATTATTATAATCAGAGCCACTGGAATGCTATAGCATTTAAAATAGTACTATTTTTAGCAAAATAGCTAGCACTTATTGTTTAATGCTAAGATGTGAAATTTGCAATTTTTGTATTAATCACATGACTTTTGATTTTGTTCTCGAACAATTAGAGCTTTAAACAATTACATAATGAAATAAAATTTATAGTATTTAAACAGTTATATTAAAGCTAATATCGAAAGAATGTTTTTTAAAAATGCCTTCAGTTTCTTCACTTTTAGATCAGTATCCTAAATACAAGGAAGATTTTTATGAAAGTGAAAAAAAAGTTTATTGTAAATTTTGTAAATGTGTTGTTGATTATCAAAAGAAACATAATTTAGATTCATATTTAAAAACCAATAAACATGAAAAAGAAAAAAAAATTGCTGAAGCTTGTGAAATTTCACTAAATCAACAAAATCTAACTGCACTTCAGACTCAAATAACCAATAGACAGGAAATTAATGCTGATTTAATTAAAGCTTTTACTAAAGCCAACATTCCTTTAGAAAAAGTTAAAAAATTAAAACCATTTTTTAATAAGCATTGTATAAATAGTAATTTTTATTTAGTTTCAATAATTATAATTTATATATATCGATATTAAAGTTTTATTAATATTTTTTTTTTTAGGTAATTCTGTTGTTGACTCTTCATAACTTCGAGAATGATATATTCCTCCTGTCTATGATATTGAACTGGAAAAATTAAGTATTTTACTTAAAGACAAAAAAATTTGCATCACCATTGATGAAACAACTGATGCATATAGAAGAAGTGTTGTTAATGTTCTTTTTAGTTTTAGAAAATTAACTAAGCTCATAAAAACAGAATTTCTTCAAGAAGTTAATTTTACCATAATCACACAATTAGTTGTCTCTACTATATTATTTTATAATATATCATTTAATAATATTATTTTATATATTAGTGATAATGCAAGTTATATAAAAAAATCTTTTAACAATATTTTATCTCCTTTAATTCCACAAATGCAACATAATACTTGTTTTGCCTATATTTATAATTTAGTTAGAAATACTTGGCTTGAATATAATAATTTTCATATTATAGATAATATTGTTACTAATATTAAATCGACATTTGTACATTCACTATTTAGAAAAAGGCATTAGTTAAACTTTCTTTCTTTATATATATTAGATAATGAAGATCTTCCATTAATTTTACCTCCTTTATCTATAAAAATTAGATGGTTTTCTTGGTTTCGATTTATTATTTGGATGAAACCATACTTAAAATATTTAATTATTTTTTATCAAAAAGAGAATGAACTTGCAGATCATTCAAAAGCTATTATTAATCTTGCAAACTGGTTCTCTAATTTAGATACTGTTATTCATATTGAATTAATTACTATGTTTATCACATTAAATAGAAAAAGGTAAATATTTAAAATATAATTTATAATAATTAAATATATACTAATACTAATATTAATATAAAATATAGATTAATACATGATTTGGATTTTTTTCAAACTCGAAATAATCCAGTTGCACCACATGTTTTCTTATAAATTCAGCAAATACAAAAAATACTCCAAAATGGAATAGCCAACCCACCATTAACAAATGAAATAATTTCTTTTATAAATCAAAAACAGTTAAATATTAATCACTTCAAAGAAATTTTTAGACAAGTGTTTAATTTGGCATATACAAAGTTTATGAAGCATATTAGGCAGCATAATGCATTACCACTATTTAAAAGTATTTAATGCTTTAATCCTCAATTTATTTGTGATGACATTTTATGATATAATTTATTATTATATTTAGATATTCCCGAATTTAAAAATTCATTAAATCAATTAATTAATGAATGGAATATATATTGTAATATAGCAGAGAATTTTGCGATTATAGCAAAGAATTTTGAGATTAATATCGAATGTAATTTAGAGCAATATTAGAAAAACAAATTATATACTTTACCTGTTCTTTCAAATATTGCATTAGTTTATATCTGGGTTTCAGTATCAAAAGTAGATGTAGAACATTTATTTTCTAATTATAAGCATATTTTGAATGATAAATGAAGATCTCTTACAGAAAATAATATAGCTAGATTAAATTTCTTGTATTTTAATGAAAATTTTACTGATAATTATATAGAAATAGATGAATAAATATAGCAATAGACATAATTTGTAATAAAAAATTACTTTGCTATTTTTGCTAAATTTGTTAATTTTACTAGCTATTTTTGCTAGCTATCTTTGCTATTAATAGCCAGTGGCCCTGATCATAATCTATTTTTTTTCTTTATGCTGTATGCACATCAATTCTTTAACTAATAATCCTTTTATATAAAATATGATTTTTTTTTATAAGCAAATCAAATTCCACCTACTAAGTAGAATTATCAGAAATACTGTTTTTAGGTACTTTCAAATTTTGGAAACTTTTTGTTAATCGATCTTCACATTGTATATTTGGTGTAGATTTGTACTAAATTAACAAAAAGTTATTCAAATTATCAAAATTATAATGATTAAGTATTTAAGAAAATCTCAGGCTGAAGATTGCCGAAGATCACCTCCAACCCTATCTGGATCCAATAAAATCACAGGATCTCATATAACAAAACAAACATAAATATATAAGAAATTGTAAAAAAATATAAATAACTTAAAAATTTACTATGATAACTAACTTCTGACCTCTAAGCAAAAGTTTTCGGAATGAAATTTTACTTATAAAATACAATTGTTAATGTTAGATATATAGAGAATTTTTTATATACTATGACTCATATCTTCTTGGCTAACAGCTTGAGATTTTCTTGATATAAGGAAATTCGGAGAATATTCAATGATCAAAAAAAAAATTTTTTGTGATTTCGATAAATTTAGCTAGTTCTGTATTGGTAATCATATGATACAAAATAGACTTTAATGTCGATATCGATATTGAAACGTTTTGTAAACAATTGTATGATCTGACCTATTCATTTCATGATAACATGCAAATTTAGAAATACAGTCAACTTTTCCTATAATGAACTAAAGATTCTGAAAGAAAAAAACCATGTTTTCTTAATGTTAAAAACTTATACCAATTGTTATATAAGAAGATCTAGAGATGTTACGTGTTATAACATATACAGAAACTCATACAGGAGAATCCCCAAAATTCCAGGTCAGAATACTTCAGAATCATGATCGGCAGGGCTGGAATTAACTAATTTTGCCCAAGATCACTAAAAGTCCAGAAATGGTAAACTTGTATTACTAAATGCTAACTAAATGCTAGACTAAATCCGATGGTTTCAACTCAGAATTTTGGGGATTCACCTGTATAAGTTTACAAGTTATAGTTTACTAAAAACATGGTTTAAACTGGTCTCTGAAAAAGTCTAAGATATCAATAAATAAAACTTATGAAACTATTTCCAAATTAGTAAGTTTATTGATATTTTTTTTTATTCTTAAGGGTAGAGGTAACATAGATTATTTTTATTAGTAATTTTATAGCAAATCATATGATATCATATGATTTACATATAAAATTTTGATTACGTTATACAAATTTCCTATATAAATCTTGTGTAATCTAGAAAACTTATAAGCTAATCCAGGCAAACTTAGTAATATATAAAGTATTTTTTTTTAAATAAAATAAATTATAAAATTTT